ACCCCTTTCTGACAGATGGGCACCGAGTATGTCCTAGCGTGTATCAGGAGCTTTGAATTTTTCAATATATTTTTTAATAAATTATGTCTCAATGCAAATGGGTTTGCAATGGTTTGCAAAACATGGCAGCAATGAAAGCTTCCAAAGGAACAACACGCAGCCCCCCTTCCCAAGTGCACTGCATGCAACTAGGTAATAGAAAAAAAGGCAACTTAATGACAATCATCCCAGAATTACACTTTGTAACCCCAGATACTGTCTCAAGGCAGACAACTGCTTTATCTGAGCAACACAAAATGAGGCTTTGACCCTCTGTTGTTCACTCCAACATTCTTTTTTCCTTAGGTCCAGGTCCATGGTTAACTGTTCTCTTTACAGCACGTTTCTACAGCAACCAACTGCTAAACTGATACTCAATGTATTTCCCATTCCACCTGCCTTACTTCAGACTTGGGAACTCAAAATATTATTTGGAAACTCATTATTTGAACATCATAAAAACTGAGCCTTGAGCTGCAGTAGGATGGTGTGGTAGACCACATTCATCATTCTAACTTCCCCAGCTCCTAAAACAATGCAAAACTAAATCAACACAGTAGTTAGAGATGAAAGCAAAATTCTTCGTGACTTGCTAACAATTACTTGAAAAACAAATATATAAAGGACCAGGAAGAAAGGAATTCCCAGTACTTAAGAGAAGTATCAAACTCCTCCTTTTAAGCAAATATTTAATTTCTTCAGGAGCCTTTTTGACTGCTTATTGTGCTTTGGTTACACTAGCAGCACTTTGCCCCAAGTGCAGCAGCCTTCCTAGAGGATAATAAGCAAGATACACTTTACCTGTGCATAAAGCACTGTGTTCCCAAAAGGGGACGGGGAGCACATTTTTATAGTAGCTAACGCAGCAATGAATCATCCTCCTGAGATAAAGACTAAAAAACATTAAGAGGGGAATAAGTTGAAGTAAAAAAATTTTAAAAAGCACTCGAGTGGTTCAAGTTTTCCATAGGAAAGAGAGTGAGGCATGAAGTAATGAGCAGAAAGATCAGGTGTATCTATCTTCATGGAGGCTGAAAGAAGGTAGATATTAAACTGTGCTTTCTGGTAAATAGCCACTGCCAGTTATTGACAAAGTTGTCAAATATATAGGATTATTGAGACTGATGATACCTGAAGAAATGGGGATTTAGAAACACTTGGGACTAAAAGGATAGGAATGTGTTGCAGATAATAAATAGAGTAGATTGAAAGTAAAAAAAGCAAAGAGACCAGCTTCAGAGAGCATAATTAAATATCCTTAATCAGTATATTAGAGTACTGCAATGAAACCACATACCTGCATTCTAAGTTGGGTTTTAGAAAATAAATGCAACCAAGTGGATAAAAGACACAGAACGTTCTATGCCGTAACACTGCTTGGCATAGAATTTCTTCAGATAATTTCTATTTTGTTAATGCCCAAATAACTTAATTATATAAAAAAATGCACTAACTGCCCAGGTCTGTAAGCAGTAAGATATTAAATCACCATTAGGCAGATTTTAGTGAAATTGGTCAGACAATGCATTAGGAAAAAAGGGGACAGTGCTTGAGTCGATAGGAGGACTTCAAGCGGTTGAGTGATCGTGCGGCTTAATGCACATGGATGGAGCAGGGACCAGCAGGTAAAAGGAGCACAGCAACTGGCACCAGAATGTTTTTAATCTGGTCTAGAAGTAAGAGCTAAGTTTTGAGACAGGGGATGTGAAAAGTGTTTACAAATTCTAGAGAGAAGACTCCTAAAATATCACAAAGCTCTGTTCTATCTAAAACATGCTCTACTGAAGAGTTAGGGATACTTGCTACTACACTTCTTCAACAGCATGAAATGTATCTCACTGGGTTCACAAAGAGATAGCTGATAGGTCAGGATTTCAGTACAAGATTTGAAAGAGATGGGCCTGTCACAGTTTTGGCATTGACCTGTCGGTCACCAAAGCTCCTTAACTCTTCTGTCTCTCACTTTCAATACACACTGGATCAGCAGTTCCTGCCTCCCAGGCATTCCACCAGGGTACACGAATCCACAACAAAGATCTTATGGATATAATTGGAAGACTGCATGAAAAACATTAATATAAGAAACTTTCAGATATTAGATGTCAATATCCCAGTGTTACTTATCCTACCCTTCTAAAATAATTCTAACTAGTCAAATTCTCTGTTCCCAGCCCATAAAGACTTTACTTACCACACTGCTAGCTAGTCCACTGTTTCAGCCTTAAGTGAGACAGGGCACTACTACCACAATAATTTAATTTCCATCCCTCTGCTTTGATTGCTGCTGTGGCTTCCATCTGCTGTGGCTTTTTTCACAGTAACTGAGGCCTCAAGCAAGTAATGCCTCAAGCCACAGAAGCTGTGGCTTCAATACATGCCACCAATAATGTTTCTACTTCCTAAGAAGCAATGCTAAAAACCAGCCAACTGCAACAAGTTTTGGAAAAATACTGTATGATGACCAAAATGGACAGATTACATGTGCCTTAAATGGCATGTTACAATCCAGAGAAAATAAAAATTTCTTGGTTGGGCAAGTAAAAAATCAGTGCTATAGAAACGGTTTCCTCTCCCCACACCCCCCACTTGTAAATGCAACAGAAAAGAAAAATACAGTAGGGAGGAGGGTGCAGGTTGTTTTCCCAAAGACTAATAAACTTCTTAGCTGAACAGTACTTGTCTTCTGTTGATAAGTGATGAATATGACAATATGCCTGGACCACACTATATAGAAATGACAGCATAACACACTGAGGGCACTCTACTTGTCTTCAAGTTACTTCCACTGATTAGGAAGAAAAGGTACAGAGTGCCAGCTCAAAGTGCTTAGGAAAGGTGTAACCTCAGAAGCAGAAGCTAGCAAACACTAGGCAGAATACCTTGACAAGACAGAGGGAACTGAAAGATTAAATTGGCTACTGCTGTAGGCAATCACCACTCAAGACCAACGTACTTCAGAGACTGTACCTGCCTACCCAGCTCCTCCATCAATCTGGGTCTGAAGTAATAGGAAATACATTATTTTAATATAGTACATAACTACAGTGTTATATAATGTATAGTATAATGTAGCACACGGTATTAGCTTCCAAATAAATCTTTATAATGGCTCCAGTTCAGAATGTAACTGCAGGATTCCTCAGTTCTTGTATTGCTGTTTTCTACTCACAATAAAAAGAAATTTAGGAAATAAGAAAAAAACAGGAGAAACATGAACACTGACTTTTGGCTTGCTTTGCCTTAATTTTTCTGCAAGGCATGATATCCCTCTGCTGGGCAAGAACAGATGAGACAGCAAGGAGCTGTGAACCAAAACTGGCTGAACAGCAAAACAAAACCAGCCTGCAGGGACTGGAAAGGGTCAGTAAGAAAAGACAGCTGAGGCAATGTATGGCTGACCAAAAGCCTGAGAAAACAAGGAGTCCAGATGCAAACTATCGACCAAGCAGCATTTACAATTTAAACTTGGTTCTCTAAGCACAGTCCAAACAAGGAAGTAACATTTTTCATAACATCTTTAAAATAAGCCACCTTGAAGGAGCTGTCATCTTGACAAGTACCAGTTCTCTAACTCTAAAAACAATTGCTGCAATATTTAGGATAACAGGAAGCAAAAAGAATTTCCTAAAGCAAAAGATTTTTGTCTATGACACACTAAACTGTGAGCTATGAAATCTGCACTGTATGAAGCTGGTAATGAAATTTAGCTCTTACTTATGTATTTGTAACATTGTTTTCCAGGAGAATGTATGACAAGCCTTCAGGACAGTTACCTTTTTTCACTTTAAATATATTTTTGTCTCTATAAATGTAATGCCTAAATATGCCAATCATAGTAAAGATAGAATAATTTCAGACATCAGTAGTGATGCAGATGAAAATGCAAACTCCTCACAGAGACATATGCGATATCACATATATTTTTGGGAAATAAACACTAGTTAAGTCTTACTGTCATCACCAAAGCATGATAAAGAGAGAAGTTAAGCCTCCTTCTCGTTAGCCCTGGGACTGGAGTATGGCTGTCCATTTTTTTTTCCAGACTTCTTGTCCCATTCTACCAATGACTTTGCACAGTTCTCTGTGGGTTGGAATACCATTCATTTTTCAACCAAGGAAAGACTGCAAAAAAGCTCCCCTTAAAAATAACATTCTAATAGGTGACTCACAGAAAACAAGTTTTGTTAAAAATACAAACACAAAACAGAGTTTGATAATAATTTTTTCCTCTTTTATTAAAAACAGTCATTACACTTGACACACATTTGGCAAATATACATGATTGTACCTCTAGTTTTTAGGAAACTAATTACAGACTATTACAAAGTGACACTTCATATGGAGTTAGTAGGCTCTGGGTCAATTTTTCATACTGTAGACTTCTGGTCTTGTTTCAGTTGTTCAGGCGGTTCTGCTTTTAGCTTTCCTGTGTGGTCAACAACAATATATTGGCTTCAAATACATTTATTTTAGATGTACATCTGTGCACACAGTGCAAACCTGCACCCAGTACCTGCCACTAGATATTCAATAGAACGTTCTTCTAGGGTCTTTACCATCCACACATATTCATTCTTTTGCATCACTTCTCACATTGAAGCCCGTCACACCAAACCTTTCACTTTGTTAACCAAAGGTTGTTTCACTAACAAGATTTCTATACCATTTGCTTACAGACCAGGAAAGAGGACAGATCTTACCAACAGAAAACTCTCTGGGGCGGGGAAAAATGTCTGTAGTGATGGAAGCAGATACAGAGCCTCAGCAAAGACAAGTTTTTCTAACCAAACCTACGCCAAAGCTTCCAGCTACACAACAGCTGTGTTAGCAAGCGGCGGCTGGACCAAAGAAGTATCTTGCATAGTCATTATCCACGTTCTCAACAGGCCTAGATGTACACGATGGAGAGTATCAGTCCATTTACCAAGATGCACTGTCCCATCTCCCGGTCCTGTTTCAGCTCAACTGGAAGCTTCTTTTTTCAGTTTTTCTAAAACCTCATCTGGTGTCATGGACAGCAAAATCTTCACCACTTTTTCACGTGATTTACCACCCTGGTTTAAACACACACACAAATGACCCACCTTTCAGAGAATCACCACCAAATACACACTCAAAAAAACCATCTCACTGTAATGCCAACATGACAAGTACTTTAACAATTACTCCTAAAGTGTGGGTACGCAGAGTTAACAGCATTAAGAGATAGTTCATCACTGTCCTTTATAGTTATTTGAACGGTGGAAAACCATGTCTTACCTACTCTCCTTCTAAAATTAGATACAGCTCCCAGAGTGGTAAGTTTCTGTAATTCCCTTGTATCATCTAGAAGCAAGACTCCAGCTAACTTGCATTTTTGCTTTTAAAAAGCGGGCATATGTATATTTGATAACTGTGTACTTTCAGACCTTTCTTCAGAACTGTAGTTACTCTTAAGCCAAGTTTTCAAGTTGATGACATCAACTAAATGAAGAGAATTCACATCATAGCTACCCTATAAGACATTCAGGTTCATAAAGCAGTTATTTAAAGTACTATTCACCTGCTTCTCCATTACTGAAAAAACAGCCACTTTACATAGGAGCTGGCAAACCAGTGATGAAAACCAAGGCCTTTGCATAGGGGTGTGGTAAGCTCAGTTTTATACTGGGCCATTTTGCACCCATTTCACAACTTGAATTGCTTTTGGTAATATCAGCCCCTACCATAAAGCAAGCAGCATATAAGAGAGCAACCAGTACCAAAAATCACTTGTTGTTTACAGTTGGCAGATCAGGATGGAAAAATCTAAAGCCACAGGTAAAGACTTTATCACAATGCTTCACTGAGAACAAATAATGGCTTGTGAAAAACAAACACTAGCCTGTAATTATTTGAACACCATAGGTCAGAACAACAGAGTCAAGAAGGTCAGACAACACTGGCCCCTTTTATGTTGAACTCTGCTTAGCACTTATGAGAATAACCTGAAAATCTCTTTACAGTAGGAAAACAGTGGTATCTGTAAAATGTTGGTAAAAAAATGTAACAGTCTGCCCATGATTCAGGAAAAACAGGACTCAGATCTTTGCATCTCTACCTTTCAGCAACACAGTGCTCAATTCATTGATCACATTGCCACTTACCACTATCCTTTAACAGACTTCTACAACTTCTGCATTCAACCAACAGATGAAAATAAACAGCACAATTTTCCATTGTGCTCTCATGTTCATAAACTATAGATGTATGTGGCTGGAAAGACTGAGTTTAAATACAATGAATTAATAAAACAAATTATTTATTCAGTGCCATGAATAAAACAAAGAGTTTCCACTCACCAAAGTCAAGATGTGTAAATTCTAATACAAAGAAAATCATAGAATCATAGAATCCTTTAGGTTGGAAGGGTCCCTCAAGATCATCAAGTCCAACCATTGAGCCATTAGGGCTCTAAAGTCCTCTGCTAAAACAGATCAGAATCTGTCAGGGTTGGAAGGGACCACAAGGATCCCCCAGTTCCAACCCCTCTGCCATGAGCAGGGACACCTCCCACTAGATCATCTTGAGGCTCAGCTATAGTCCAAGTGCTTATATATGCTCTTATGTATGACAGTTAATTATCAGAAAATTTTCACTCAAATACAGAAGCTACTTCAAAAAATGAAAACATATTAATAAATGAACATCCTCTGCAAAGCACAAATTTTGTGAACTATATTTGACATGAAAACGAGAATCTTTGAAGAACACAGAAAACATGAACCACATAAACTTGGAAAATACATAATGATGAAAATTATTCTGATTAAAGATCTCAGTAACAGTTGTGGTACTTCCTACACTAGGTTTGTTCTCAATGAATCATTGCATTAACTCAGCTAAAAACCTTTAGAGTGTCTTCTGGACTGAACTTGAAGAGCAGCTCCCTGTACTGAATGAGCAAGTTTCATAATCCTGAATTTAAAAATGCAATAAGGTAAAACTGAAAGAAAAAAAAAAGAAGTACCTTCTCTAAAATAACTTCACTCTTCTTCACTTCTAGCACCTTAGAGAGGTAGCGACACAGCTCTGCATTTGCCTCCCCTTCCGACGGAGGTGCAGCAATAGCTACACCTACTGCCTCAGCTGTCACATCTACAACAAACAGTTAAAGGACTTTATGCTCAAAATAGTCAAAACATCTGACAATTCTCTCATCAAAAATAATATTTATGCTTTCAAAAGCATTTTAATTTAAAACTAAATAAACTTATAGATTAGTAAGCAATGACATTTTTACACTTCATAAATCCCCTTAAGTTAAAGCTGCTCACTAGTATGAACATAAACTTCCCATACAAAGCAGTGAAATCTTCAGTGTGCAGCTATGAATGATAGTTTTCACCCAACCACTTCTAGGCTCCTCTCTAGGTTGCCCGTTCTGATGGAGGTGTAGTCCAGCTTGACTTCATGTAGCACAACACACATCAGGTCACCCCACCAAAAACGTGTTATAAAAAAGTCTGCCCCGGGAGCTACACTACCATCAGCACCTTCCTCGCAATTCTAGTGGAGCCTTGACACTTTACTCATGTCCACCGTGTTAGTCTCCCGCACACAGCCGTACAGACAGCAGCTCTAGTTTGTACATGAGCCAGCCCGGATCTGTACAGGGAGAAGGCTTTTTGTTAGACCAGGCTTTTCTAGTTCCAAGAAACCTGCAGAGCGCCCCGGGACACAAAGAGCGCGCCCG